TTTTTTTTTAAAGGTAATCTATATTCTTCTCTCAATCTATTTCATCTTTCTTGGTAGTACGCATCTATCTCATCCTCTCACTAGTCTATTTAATATTTATAGTACGGGGGAACACCAACCAACCCGGATCTCTCCCCAGCCCACAGGGTAGGTTTGCACCACAGCTGTGGCGCGAGAGCAAGGCTGTACCAGTCCCTCATCACGGTGACGAAGAGTGAGCAGGCATTGCCGATGGGGGAAATCGGCGGTGCTAGCGCCGAGCAATGGCCAGTCACTGCACCTCCCCCTACCCCCCTCCCAACCTCACATGGCGGTGTCTAATGGCCAATATTGTCACTGCATAGCAGCCAACAACATCAGCCAAGGGCCTGCCAATGCTGGCTAGGGGGGCCAACGGGTTATCTCTAGCTGGTAGAACACCAAGCTTGCCCAGACACGTACGTGAGGCCAATGGGGATTGAGCCCACGACCTCCTGAATGCAACTTCTGTGCCTTACCAACTGAGCTAGGCCCGCAGGCCTGATTCCACTTTTTTGAACGCTGTGCCAAGGCTCTGTAGTGGTTAAGAAACGTGGCTCTTGAGGCTGAGGTCGCCGGTTAGAATCCGTGCGTGCGTGCACGGAGGAGGTCCAAGGCTGAGAAATAATACCGACTGCTGTCTCGTGACAACATGAAAGGTGAGAGAAAGAGGAGGAAGTGGAAGACCGTAAGAAAACATCATATTTGGCTGACGTAAGAAAACATCATCTTTGGCTGATGTAAGAAAACATCATCTTTGGCTGACGTAAGAAAACATCATCTTTGGCTGAAGTGAAAGAGAAGCAAAAAAAAAAATGCAAAAAAGTGAAAAAAGGAAAACGGAAGTTCATAAAGCAGTTGGCAGAACGATAATCTTCGTTTTTTTTTTTTTGTTTCCTTCTCCTTGAACTCCTTACTGTTGAGCAAAAGGAGAAGTAACTTCAATAAGTAATTAATCATTTTTAAATTCTAATATTAATAGTTAACCTTTCAGCTATGTTACCAGAGTGGCCCGGGACCACTTGCCCGGCCGGGCCAAAAATGAATTAAAAATAAAAAATGAAGGGAGGGGGGGGGGGGCGCGAAGGGGCCGGGGGGGGGCGCTTGTTCACACAGGCGAGTAATGGTTCATTGTACATTTTCTTCTTCTCGTGTTCGTGTTTCTGTTTTTCGGAGACTTGGGCTGATATATCTTTTACGGGCAGAGTGTGGCACTGTGTTCAATGCAGGGATAGAGGACGACCTGAGGTTTTCTTTTTTTTTTCCTGAAAAAAACTTGGGCTGATATATCTTTTTACGGGCAGATCGGCATTGTGTTCGATGCAGGGATCGAGGATGACCTGAGGTTGCGGCATTTGCAGGTTGCAGACGCTGCACAAGCTACGCTTGGGCTGTCTTTAGGAGACTACATAATTACGGATATGCCCCTTCAGGTAGGTCAGCAGGTGGCCCTCTCTCGCTTCTGGATAGAACGCAAAGCAACTTAACTTGGTGGAGACATGTGCGCGTGCTGAAGGTTTCACTTGCATGCATGCAATCGGGGAATGATTCTCCCATGGCTGCGCTCTTCACCCAAATAGAAGGCCCGGTCATTATCGCTGTGTCGCGACTGAAAGTTGCCCCCCAAACACAGTTATACTGTTATAGTGACCGCACGTTCTTTTCGAGGGACAGAAAGAGATATACTTTGTGGACAGAGACGGTTTTCGGGGGTCTTAGGCGTCCCTGGTGAATCTTTTTTTTTTTTTTTTTT